GAGAAGAGCACCACCGTCCGCACACCCATTGCGCGCGCACGGGTGTCGCCACCGCCGCTGCCGCGGCCTTGCGTGCACAGGGTCTCCTCGGGCGGCGGTAGGGCTAGAGTCCGCCGGCGTCGTGACGGGGCTGGATCTGGAGATGGGTTCTCTCGTTGTGGGACTAGGCCTCGGGTGTAGGCCGTTCTGCTAGGCGGCGGCCGATGTGTAGATGCCTAGATGGACAGATCTCTCTTCTCTGTAGTGTAGTCTGAATGTGTAGTTCTGTACTTCTGTAGTCATGTGCAGTTTTGTTCATGCTGATTTTAGTTACTACTCCTTGACTCACACTATACTACAGATGGGATTATGAACACTATACTGTAGTTTTGTTCTTGCTGTTAGTGTAGAAGAGTTTTGTACTTCATACTGTTTCTTACTGACTGAGTGCTGAATTACTTATGTTTCTTGTTGTGTTCATTGTCTGATTGTAGGCCTCGGCGTGTCAAGCACAGCATCAACAGCCCATGGACAAGCTGCCATTGCGAATGCGAAATCAAAAGACCCAGGATGGAAATATTGCATTTGCCCGGATGAAAACAAGAAGAATTCACTTAGGTGCATCTATTGTAATAATCTGTACACCAATGGTATTACTCGGATCAAGTTCCACCTTGGAAACATTCCGAATTCCGGTGTTCTACCTTGCACAAAAGTGCCTGCTGATGTAAGGGATGAAATTGTTGAGTATTTGACAAGGAAGGGTGAGAAAAAGGCAATGAAGGTTACAGAGCAGAAGAGAAGGAGATGTGAAGTGGACTTGAGCCACTCAGAGGGGGAAGGTGCTAGTGACTCAGATGGCACAAACAATTCTGTTCTTGTGCTGAAGTCAGCGCGTGGCACAACGTCTAAATCCTCAAGTGGCCCTATGGAAAAGTTCTGCAAATTGACACCCAAAGAGGCTATTGCTGCAAGGAAGGAAAAAGCTGCTGATAATATCCAATTAAAGCTGACAACTGGGAGAAGAAAACAAAAAAGGATTCGTGCTTGTGAGTACATCTGCCAATTCTTCTATGAAGCATGCATTCCCTTCAATGCAGTCACACTCCCAAGCTTTGACCTTATGCTTGAGTCAATTGGACAATACGGCGAAGACCTAGATGGTCCTAGTCCTTATGAAATGGGTGGGCCATACTTGAAGAAGAGGAAGAAGAGAGTGAAGGATTCCTTCAAGGCACACAAGGAACATTGGGAGCTCACTGGATGTACAATCATGACAGATGCATGGACAGACATAAGAGGAAGAGGGGTAATGAACTTGGTGGTTCATAGTGCTTATGGTGTAGTTTTTCTTGATTCTGTGGATTGTTCAGCTGCTAAAAAAATGGTAAGTACATCTTTGATCTTGTAGATCGTTGCATAGAAGAGATTGGGGAGAAACATGTAGTTCAAGTAGTGACTGATAATGCAAGTGTGAATCAAGCAGCATCTAAGTTGTTGAACGCAAAGCGCCCCAAGGTATTTTGGAATGGTTGTGCTGCCCACTGTATAGATCTGATGCTAGAGGACATTGGGAAGCTGCCATCAGTTGACTCCACCATTACAAAAGCTAGAGCTGTGACGGTTTTCCTTTATGCACACACAAGGGTTTTGAACCTAATGAGGGAATTCCTTAGTAAAGATTTGGTTAGGTCTGGTATTACAAGGTTCGCTACAGCATACTTGAACTTGAAAAGCATGCTGGACAACAAGAAACAACTCCAGAAACTATTTAGATCAGATGAGCTTGATGAAATGGGATATTTAAAAAAGGTTAAAGGAAATGAAGCTAGCAAAATTGTGCGCTCTGAAACTTTTTGGAGAGGAGTAGACATTGTTGTCAAGTTCTTTGAGCCATTGGCTAATTTGCTCAGGAGGATGGACAGCGATGTACCGGCTATGGGATTCATATACGGCGCCTTTTTGGATGCAAAGCAAGAGATCAAAACTAAGTTTGAAAATGAACAAGGATCTTGTTTTCAGGAAGTGTTGGATATTGTGGATAAAAGATGGGACAACAAGTTGAAGGGGCCACTACATAGGGCTGGATACTTCTTAAATCCATACTACTACTATGAAAACAAGAAGCAAATTGAGTTAGATGGATCATTTGAAGCTGGGCTTGTAACTTGCATGGAAAAAATGGTTGAAGATGTTGTCCTTCAAGACAAAATCAATGATGAGCTTGTGGCATATCGAAAGGAACAGGGGACATTTGGAAGAGAAATTGCCAAAAGGCAGCGGAGAAACAAAAGCTTTGATCCAGGTGCATATTCACATTTTTATCAATTCTCAAATCTGATCTTACAATGGTTTATTAACTATGGTTTTATACTTTTGAATGAAGCTCAATGGTGGTCCAGTCATGGGTCAGATTCACCAAATCTCAGAGTATTGGCGATGCGGATTTTGAGTTTGACATGCAGCTCCTCCGCTTGTGAGAGGAATTTTAGTGTTTTTCAGCAGGTAAGAAAGAAGTACAATTTATCCTGTTCTCAACTTCTCATATTAGTGCCCTTGAAAAATATTTGCCTATGTTATGCTAGCAAACTTGATTTGTTCTCAACTTCATAGAAGTGTCCTGTTGTCCGTGTTGTAAATGTACGCAATCCTGGTGTTCGTGTTGCTTGATATGAATTGATGGCTGGTTTGTGCTGTACAGTGTATAACTTTCCTTGATGTAGAATATATTTCCTTGCTTCCTTACTGTGATAACATATTTGTTTCCTTGCAAACTTGCCATGTTGCTTACTTGGTTGTTGTTACCTATAGATTCACACAAAGAAACGCAGCAGGCTGCTTCATAATAAAATGAGAGACCTTGTTTTTATCAAGTTCAACTCCAAACTCAAACAAAAGAGAAAGATGAAAAACAGGGACCCGATTGTGGACCACACATTTGTAGATGTTGTAGAAGATGAAGATAATGAGTGGATCACAGGTATTGTGCCTCATGAACCTGATGAAGTTGTAGAAGTTGCAGCATCAACATCACAAGGAGCAGTTGGTGCATCAAAAAGAAAGAGAGCGTCCCAATCTCGCCCTCGGAAGAAGAAAAAACTGCTCCCTGTTTTTCGTGAAGATGAGTTGGAGTCAGCTAGTTCTTCTTCTGAATCGGAAGATGATGCCATGCATTCACCATCTGGTTCATCAAATGAGAGTGATTCTGAATAATTTCCAAGTTGTCGCTGTATTGTATTGTTTACTTGTTGGCTTGTTGCCTTGTTGGCTAGTTCATCTTTAAACTGATATGTTGTACTATTGTCGTCCTATGGCAGTTGTTGTTGCCCTTCTAGTTTTTTGGACAAGTAATTTCGCATGTGTCGCTATGGACTGCTGTATTGTTATGTTCTCCATCTAGTTCATCATAAAACTACTATGTTGTATTGTTATTGTTGTTCATCTTAATTAGTTATGCATGTATGGCTCCTGAAAAAAAATATTAGATGTTGAAATCCTTATTTTTTGGGATATATTTGGCTTTTTTTTAAACGCTATTTTGAATATAGCACGCTATAGCATGCTATAACTTGTATAGCATTTGGAGAAGGGCCACGCTATTTTAAATAGCACGCTATTCAAAACATTGGTACAGACACAAGCGCTCATATACACGCGCATACACTCATCCCTATGAACGCACACACGCACACCCTACCCCTATGAGCATCTCCAAAAAACTGAGCCGGCATATCATCTTGAGATTTAATTATACTAGTATTACTTTTACCAGATCAATTGAAACATATACTTCTACGTATCAGAAGTCAAAGATAGGAAATTTTGGCCGTACACGTTTTAGAATATTTTGTACGCAAGGATACTAGGTCATATCACTAGACAAGGTTAACAATTTTTTTTTTCAAAATCTCCATGTTTCAACCTTTTGTTTTCAAGAAGATGCACGAGATTTGCGAGTCATTTGTATTAAGAAGATTTGACACCGTACAAGGAACTGCCATGGCGATTCAAAGAAATGTTTGAGATATTGATTTGAAGATGGCAGAGTATTAAGTATTTGTATTAATTTTGTTTGTGGTCATCTAAAAGCACATGGAGATGATTTTTATTTCTGCCACGTAGGATAATTCTCGATGTGCACAGAGAATCAAACAAACTCTTCATTAAGAGTCACACTCTCGTTAAGGAGTCAACCTTGTTGCCTTTGTACATTGACCTATTTAATGCTAGCTCGTCGTTTAGAATCAGTCCCGCATTGGAAAGTGTCGTATACTAGCTAATATCATGCATATGATATTGATGTATGATACTATATACATAGTGCATAGTAGGCTGATCATAGTGGGTTGTATCTAAGTTTGGCTCGCTGGGCCAAAACCACTTTACCCCCATCGTCAAGTTATCTGGTGGTTAGAGCATCACTAAATGATAGGTTGGTATTATAGATGACCTTATTTATTGTCATGCATGACACATAGTACCACACCATCTAATCTGATACGGTATCATACCATGATACTCAGTTCTCTTTTTCTTTATTTAACTGTAGGCCACATCATCTAAACTGTTAATAGCTTTTTTCCGTGTAGAATCAGTTTAAAATGCACCCTATTGCATAAACTATTTTACTATTGACTCTAAATTACGTGGAGTGAACATAAAAGAACTGTTTTGACTACCCATCGGTGGAGATGAACAATTTTTCTTGCAGTAAAAATGGACTATGACTCTACACATTTGCTCATAAAACATATATATTTAACCAAACATTTCAGTATAAACAGAGAAAACCTAGATACGTATTCTATTTTAGTACAGCTTGGCTATGACAACACCGATCGTCGGTCACAAGGTAAATACGAAAAGGACATTCTTGAAAAACAATGTGAAAAGCACAATAAACAGCCAGCAGGAACTAGAACTCCTATCTTGTTTGGCATCACCCTTGATGCGGGGTAGAAAGAAAAGCACATAGCCGATTGTGAATCGATTCTACCGCCGACTGATGTTTCCCTTTTCTTCAGATCCAAAAAATAGAGCTGGCCGGGGGGAGTAAAAGAGAAAGCAATCACTGTCGAATCCCCTCGGTGACAGGCAACTGGTTAAGTTAATCTGATGATAGGAGTATTGCTTTGCAGACAAGACACATAATTGCATCTACTCCGGCTAGCTAGCTCGATGTTGGTAGGCTCTGCATGCATGCAATACATCTTGGATTTCCCACCACTGTTGTACTCTACAAGTCTAGACTCTTCTTAAGTTAGATTTTGAAAGCTTTAACCATAGTAGAGTAGATGTTGTGTGTTAGATATTCAAATCTGAAATTTGAGAACTGGTTGCCATGTGTTAGATATTGCAGCAGATCTGATTACGAAACAAACACAAGTTGGCATAACCCAAGTCAATATGTTGGGCCCCATAATGCAAAGGTTTATAAGGGCAGCTCCAAATGCTGACCCGCAAATTTTCTCCGACATCCCCCCACCTCCTTATAGGCGGCCTGCAACTCCGCCTGATTTTGGCGGTGCCGCCAGCGGTCACAGGAGGAGCGGCAGGGCTCGAGCATCACCTACTACTCCGCCACGTCCACATCCTGTTATGTTATGCTTCAAATTCAAGTATAAAGAGGGAGGCTAACTTCTGACAAGCGAGCGGAGCGAGGCCCGTCGCCGATAGGCTTGGATCAGTATTGACCTAGGCCACCTGTGTTATATATACCTCTTGTAAGTCGCCGCACGGGATAAGTTGATCAGTTTTAAATCCTCGGCATTTGTAACCTCCCCGATATAGTGAGTTTGACTGGCTGGCGCCCGTTTTCCCCTTCTTATTGAAGGGGTTTTCCCATGTTAAAATCTCGTGTCCCCTGCTTGTTCTTCATTCTTCGTCGAGTTGATTTGCTTGTCGTATATCTAACATGTCTGCCACGATGGCCATGCCGGCAGCGAGTTGCTCCTCCGCGTGCCGGTGCTCGTCAAGGAGACCGAGGTTGTAGGCCTCACCGACCTACATCTGTCGGAACTTGTCGACATGCTCCTCCCGCAGCATGTCCTTGTAGTGCGCACGGAAGGACTATACTAAAATATGTCTATATACATTTGTATGTAGTCTGTATTGAAATCTCTAAAAAACATTATATTTAAAAACGAGGGAGTATATAATTGTCATTACTTGAAAGTGATCCATGAAAAATTATCTTACTTTTTTGAGGGAATGGATAATTATCTTACTTAATGAGATCCAGTAGCACTATGATTCTAATTTGAGGGTGAAGTTTCATCTGGGCATTTGGACACTAAAGAACTTGCTTTTTTAGGCTTTTGGTGTTCCTTCTCCTTACCTAATATTTTGTCATGGGTCTGACTTTATCTCCAGATCCATAAACACTTAGAGCATGGTTAATAGTATAGCCAACAGCTGGCTATATGAAGTTGTCACTTCACATAGTCAATTTAATAGCCAACATGTATAATAGCTAGTTGCTAAATTGTAACACCCCGGATATGATTTACCCAATATGTAATCCAACTCTTGCCGTTTCCGGCGTTAAGTTATTTTATTTTCTCGGGTTCGGGTTTTTGTCTCCGTGCGTTGTTGTTGTTGTCATGCATCTCATATCATGTCATCATGTGCATTTGATTTGCATACGTGTTCATCTCATGCATTCGAGCATTTTCCCCGTTGTCCGTTTTGCATTCTGGCGCTTCGTTCTCCTCCGGTGGTCATTTCTACCTTTCTTTCATGTGTGGGGGTTAAACATTTCCGGATTGGACCGAGACTTGCCAAGCGGCCTTGGTTTGCTACCGTAGACCGCCTTTCAAGTTTCGTACCATTTGGACTTCGTTTGATGCTCCAACAGTTAACCGATGGACCGAGAAGGCCTCGTGTGTGTTGCAGCCCAACACCCCTCAATTTTGGCCCAAAACCCACCAAAGCTCTCTCCATCATCTAGAGCGTTCGATCACAATCGCGTGGCCGAAAACCGCACCTCATTTGGACTCTCCTAGCTCCTCCTATGCCTATATTAAGACCCCCTCCGAAATCCGGATCTCCTTCTCCCCTGAAACCCTAAAATCATCCCTCTCCACACCGGACGTGTCTGTCCGCCGCCGGACACACCGCGCCGCCGCCCGCGGCCACTGGCAGAGCGCCACGTGGCGCCGCCAGCGCCTCCACCGCCGCGGCCCGCCTGGCCCGCGGGAGGCCCTCCCGGGCCCAGCCGCCCCGCGCCTCCTCTTCTCC